CTCCCGTTTTACTTCAGGGATTTCCCCACTGGGAATCCGCCGCTAGAAAGAAAACTGGAACTAAAGGGCTTCCAATAAACTTTTTCAATTGATTTTTACCAAGCAGGTCCCTTCTTCCCTCGTCACCCCTGTGCTCCAAGGAGGATGCCTGGCGAGGGCTGCGCGGGCTCCCCCTGCTCCCCCCTGCAGAAGGGACGTGCCGAGCGGGGTCTCCGGCCCACCCCGTCCTGCCCCGCTCTCACCTCCAGCCCAGGTCGGGCACAGACTGGTATCGGTCGCACCAGGACGGACGGGGCCCCGGTGCATCGCGTCCTCTCTCCGGGGTATTTATCCGGTCAGTTTGTGCTTCTGCTTCCCTGCAGCTTGTGCTGCTTCTGCGGGATTTGACCTCCCGCCTGGAGCGGCACCGGGCTCCTGCCATCAGTGAAATCCTGGCTGTGCACAGGATTTGAAGAAAATCAGTGTAATTGCTCCTGGCAGAACCACGCTAGACAAAAGCACGAAGGCATCAGGTCCTTCACTCTCCGCTGGATGTATCTCTCAACCTGCACTTGCACATATGCACACACGTATATTTATATATTTCTGCCTCCCGCGATGCAGACACAGACACATAAATAGTCTCTCTCATGCATATTCACATTTTCTCTCCCCCACACTTTCTCTCTTTCCCCAGCTCTCAGCCACACGCGGTTTTACTCACTTCCCCCCACCTTCTCTCTCGCTGTCTCTCACACACAAGGAAAACCCTCCTAATTATTTTTAAGAAGTAACAGCTCTACGTGGAGAAGGATTTTGCACAAAAAAGTAACGGTGGAGCAAAGAGGCAGCCAAGCCGCCCTGGGAAGGCAATGCCCACTACGATAAAAGCAGCTCATTAAAAACCCCCAGTGGAAAAGCAGCTCCGCGGCCAGCGAGGGCCAAGGAAAGCTTACGCAGGTATGGAGCAACTCCAGCTCCCCTGGCAACCAGGCAGAGCCGGCCACGATCTTAATCTGCAGTAATTCTTGTACGATGCGCCGCCGCCGCCCTCCCGCTCCGCTCTGCCTGCGGTAGCCAGAGGGGCTCTGGAAAGAAGCTCGCTGCGCCAGACCGTGCCACCCTCACCCCCGCTCGCCTCCCTGCCCCCAGATCCCTCTTTGCACGGAGCCCGGTGGCGGGGCGGCAGCGCCTGCACAGCCCCATATGTGATTTTCCAGGTCAAACCCCCAGATATCGGGCGCTCCGTCTTCCATACGCCCATGCCAGCTTCCGCAGGCAACGAAGAGGCGACCCTCCTGTTACGGCGCTGCCATGAGAGATGCTTTAGGGTTCATTCCCCAAATTTCCGCCGCTCTCCTGCAGGACCCCAGGCAAGGGACACACACCGAGCGCCTCGGCTGACTGTCGGCACCGGCGGCTCTTCGGGCAGGGGCTGGTTATTGCTGGGCCAGCGGGCAGCGCCCAGCGCAGCCGGCCCCGCGCTGGGTAATCCTGCTCGGTGCTGCTGCTGGAGAAATGAGGGAGTTTTGCAGCACTGCTCAGCTGCTTCTGCAGCAAACCGCTATCCAAGTTGCTCAATGGCCTATTTTACAGAGAAAATAATAACACACGAACCTTTTTTAAGTTAGTGAGCTTTATTTAGGAAATAAATAAAATTGTAAGAAAATATGAATGATTGTAATAAATACAGCACTTGTCAAAATTACACAGCCATGAAAAGCATAATATTTTTAGGCATGTTACTCCAGTGTGGTTACAGGGGCTGGCACGTTACTGCAAAAATAACTCTGTCCCTGAAAGAACATTTTAAACATGGAAGAGAGAAAAAGACAGAGAGAGAGAGACCGCGTGCCTGCGATGGCGAAGACTAGCCGGTTCCTTCCCAAACAAGCTTTGACAGATATTTGTTCATGGGGTGGGATTTTTTGAAAATGGATACTTCATCACAACTAATAATTTTAAAGGATGCTGTCAAGATAGAAATGAGCGATTTGAAAAATCTCTCTGTGTGCCGGCCGCCAGGCTGGAGGTTGGTCACAGCCCGTGACGTTTCCCCAGCTCTGCTTGACGGCCGCCGTTTCCATGGTTTGCAAAATATAAGTGGACAAACAGCTTCTCCTTTTCCTTCTCACGCAGCGAGCGCAATATTGTCCGTCGGCTTTGTGCTTTCAATTGAGACACGGGAAATATTGCAGGGGAGAAATGAATAAGGCCATTGCATGAAGGGCTTTCTCTTACACATACGTGCCTGCCTCTGCCTGCAAGATCAGGCCCCGAGTTTGTGCACTGCAGTCCCACCGGTCCCGGGGCACGGCTCGCGGTCCTGGGCAAGCAAGCCGTACTGCGGCAGGGGGGGGTCTGCTGGAAGTTCAGGACCTGCAGCACCAAACCCCAGCTCAACTCCACCGACTCTGCCAAACAGTTGCTGGCAGGGAAGGGAGGGGGTGAGGCTCGCTGCTTTTTGGGGATAAGGTGTAGCATTTGAACTTCTCACACATCCAAAAACATTTCTCGTAGTTACTTACTTCTAACATTTCTAGTAGTTACTTGACACGCACAAGCCTATGGGGCCGGATGGGATCCACCCAAGGGCACTGGGGGAGCTGGCAGAGGTGCTC